GTTAATCTTTGTTTCATATCATGATGTAATCAGATGTTCGTAAAGGTCATTTTCTTTATCAAATCTTGAATAATAACCTGAAAACCTAATTCCAGATTCATATTCTTAAAAAGGATTTTCCTAGAATGATCGAAACGTTGAAGAATTATTCAAAATATTTGTTCGTTTTGTCATTTTTTTCCGATATACTACTCCGAAATCACACAAGTAAAAATGCAGTTTATACGATGGATCATAGTAAGATAAGAGATTGAACATATCTCTTCCGAATGCGGAGATCAGACTTGAACTGGTGAATTGCCAGTGCCTCTACTCTGCACGAATGTCCAAAGCGTACTCCTTTTGAACTATTCCCTTTGACTCTGTAAATGACACTGAAGGAGGATTCTGATGGATGTATTTGTTCTAAGTCGGCAAAAAGTTCAAGAAGTGAACTGCTAATTGAACTACACTCTCCTCTAGAAAACCGTGCAAGATACTTTCGGCAAGTGCGTGCTCTGTGTGACCTACGTAACTAACTAGCTACACAGGACCAAGTTAATTTGTCGACACAAACTGAAGAAGCCTAAAGCGGCAACTTATCCTTAACACATCTCAGAACTAATTACTGACTAGAAAAGCTGATGTGAAGCTTCGCAGAGAATAATGTCTGTCTAGGTGCCAACCATATAGCGTCCTCACCTCATTGCCATGCTTTCTGAGAAATTCTGTTGGCACTAAGCATGTGACTTTGGAAGACCATTGCACCAAATTCTTCTTTTGATTTGCTATTATGACTTGCTACTAAACTATGCATATTTCTGTCCTTCCCATCTACTGAACAATATTCTGTTTTCATCCAGCGACTTAAGAGGCGTTAAATTTTCAATAAAACTATAAAATATACCATCCAGGTTGATAAGATATTGCTGAAAACTTTTTTTCCTTTTTATCCTGCTCCATTAGTTGTCTTTCTTGTTCTCAAGTTCTTAATGTGTTTTGGAGTCTAAACATTTTAAGCCATGTATGTACCTTATTAATTTCTAACAATCTTTCCAGTGTATCTCCAAATGAACTAATACTGAATAGGAAAATGAAGCACTATTAATCCATGATGAATCTATTATATGAAGTTCTCATTCTCCTTACGTTTAACTGAACCACTTATGACTTTCGTATGGATGTGAAATAGTTACTGAACCAGTCTAATGGTTAAATAACATGTGAATTTAATCACTTGGTCAAGTAATTATTTCACTGAGAATTGCATGAAAATGATTCAGATTGGGTGAGGACTGACCTTACGAATTATTGATGTAAGATTAATGTTACAAATCTGGGTGTGATACACAACCTTCAGCATTATACGGTTAGTTACTGGCACTGTGTTTCCCGCTTTCTGGGAATTACTAAAATTAAAAGGTTTTTATCACTTACCGTTCGCTAGAAGTCGTCACCGTTTTAAATAAGACTAAGGTTGTTTTTTATAGCTGCTGGCTATTAAAGCCGACTGGACTAGCGATATTATTGTCCTGCACGCACGAATAATTATACATATTAGATGTATTACTATTCAAGGATTTCGTTTCCACGATGTTAGGTCTCTGCTCCGCTATTTAATTATTTATTTCATTTAATCAGTGTTTATAACACAAGTGATCTTCAGAAGGCACTGAAATAGAGACTTCTTAAAGACAACCAACACTCTCAGGAATGCTTGAATTCACTCAAAAAATGTAATTCTTTTTATTACAGAATTGTGTCTACAGATTGAGTTATGCCAACTATGATAATTATTTTATTGGGAAATCATCCTGTGAGATTCTCAGTCGTGATAAAGAAGACACAAGCTACAGAAAACGAACTCCAAACAATCATGTGGAAATGGAAAATTTACAAATCAAATCGGGAATCGCTGTTCGGGAAATCTGTCGTAACAACGAATCAGATATTAAAATTCTTACAATTTTTCAAAAAGATTTTTTGACTACAACGAAAGATGGATAGCTGAGTCATTTCACTTTATTTTAAATCCTTATTCACTCAACATAATGGAAGCCCTAACCATCCAATCAACTTGAACAGTATAAGACTTTGCAAGTAGATATCATAGCTAGAGTATATATACAAACAAACTACATTACTAATTTATGTATCTTTCATCACACTTTCACACCTATTCACATATGCAGAAACATTTATATCTCCACCATGAACTCAAGGACTAATAATTAATAACGATGACATTTATTCCCATATCACTATAATTTATCAACAATATAACCTGGTCTATCTTCATTTTCTAGTAAAACAGCTGGTAACTTATACAAGTTTTAATCTCTGAAGGAGAAGATTTCACTTTAAAAAATTCCAGAAATTAATTTTCCCAGAGCAATATGATTTTAAAAACATATTTCTTTTAATTTAGATGAAGTACTGATCACAAGGGGAAACAAAAGAAACAATGTGCTGACCACTTCAAAAAGCTCTTGAATCGATCACCACAAACACCACCTGCAACTCCTTCAGAAATATCTCCAGCAACCCAACCACAAGACTATCAGTGAACACAAGCCCACCAACAAAAGCCGAAGTCCTGAACACCACGCCATAGAGTTGCTGAAGTCCGAGAAAGCGACATGATCAGGTGGAATTTCGCCAGAAGCACTGGAAACAAACACAGAGACAACAGTGAACATGCTCACACCACTATTGCAGAAGGTTTGGAAGGAAGGGAGGGGAGTTACCTGCAGATTGGAAGAGGAGCCACCCTGTCATACTTTCAAAGAAGGGTGACCGAAGTCTTTGCAAGAACCGGTGAGGAATCATGCCTCACTCCTGTCCACCCAAAGCAAGCAAAATATTAGGCCGCATCATCCTGGAGATACTGAGAAATGCTCTGTATTCAAAATTGCGATGGGAACAGGCTGGCTGGCTGGTTGGCTGGCTGGCTGACTTCGGGAAGAACAAATCATGAGCGAATCAAATTGCAACGCTACGCTACACATCATCATAGAACAGAGTATAGAATGGCAGTCAACTGGATCTCTACTGGATCTCAACTTCATCGACTTTGAAGAGGCCTTCGACGGAGAAGTAATTTGGCAATTGCCTCAACACTACGGAGTACCATAAATCTTTATCAGACTCATTCAACAGCAGCTATCTTAGGATGGGAGCTCAATGATGCCTTTGAAGTGAAGACAGGAGTAAGACAAGGTTGCCGCCTACTATCACCGATGATCTTCTTGATTGTGGTGGACTGGGTCATGCAGCAAACTGTGATGAGCGAGAAGAGGAGGATACGCTGGCTGGACCGAGGAGAAGATCCTAAAAGATTTGGGTTTCGCCGATGACTTGTGTCTAATGTCTTGTCGCACAAACATGAAAATGCACAGGCAAAATCCAACAAGTTGACACAATAGGCAGGGCAGCCAAGGAAGATGAAACTTCAAGTGAACGTAGAGAAGACAGAGGTGATGAAGATACCCAACCGACACCACCACCACCAACAACAACAAGTACCAATCACCATCACTGGAAGAACGTTATAGGAAGTAGCCTCTCTCACCTACCCACCTAACAGGGAATCATCTTTTCAACTGCGTTCGGCAAGGGCATCGATGAGGATTTGAAAACCAGGATCGGAACAGCGAAACAGGGGTTCATTAATCTGAAGGCGGTAAGTAGATCTTCTGAGCTGCATTCATCACAAAGAGCAAGACACGGGTTCTCAACATTAAGTCAGTCAAATCAGTGCTTCTCTGTGATGGTTCAGAAACTTGTAGCATCACGAGAAGCATTTACAACAAACTGTAGGCATTCATCAAAATCTGCCTATGCTTTTTGCTGGAGATTAGGTGGTCAGAAAGAATGAGCAACAAGGAAGTCACTCTGGGAATGAACCAACAAAGAACGTATCACCCAACAATTATGTAGAATAAGAAATTGGAGATTGATTGGATTGGGCACTTTATCATACACTGAGATGGTCGACTGATGACTTCACGCACTAAGCCAGGCCCTCAAGTGTAATCCAAAAGAGAGACGACTAGTTAAGCGTCTGAAGCTAGGGTGACAATGAGATCATGTGAGGAAGAAATGAAAGCTTCTGGGCAGATGTAGAGCCAGGATGAAATTACCACAGAGAACAGAGTGCATTCGAGATGTGCAACTGAGGCCCTATATTCCACTAGGGATAAATAAATAAGTATTGATCACAGACTGACATCGGTTGAAGAACCATTCAAAACCAGGGAGTACTGGATATTTGTTTCGCCGTAGTATGGGACTCATCAGCAGCGACTGAACGGTTAACGGTTTCGTCGTGAAACCCAAATGTCCTTAGTTCGATCCCTAGGCGAGTTGTTTGCGCGTACCACTGAAGAGTCCCATACTAGGACAAAACAGCTGTCCAGCGCTACCAGGTTTTCAATGGTTGCCCAACTGATGTCAGTCCGTGATGAACACTACATATCAATCAAAATCCCTATTCATCTCAGAAATATATTTCTTCTATAGCAGAGTGATATTTCAGTGGCCATTGAATGAAAGGTTCGCCCATAAGCTTGAAAAAACTGATACTGTCTCGGAAAACTGAACGTGAATTATCCAGTGAATTTATGATAAACTTCACTAATGTTCTGTCAAAATTGAAAAATATCTTCCTTTCTTTTTTCTCCTGGATATATATATATATATATATATAAGTAGGAAATAATTACTCTTTATAGTTAACAGTTGGATATGTGGATCACGTATTTTCCTTCTAAGTCTAACAAAGGTTGCATGAAATGCTTGGGAAAGAGAGAGAGAGAGGAAAGATTTCCGTCTTCTATTCAATAATTCCTTTAGACCTACCCTTCTGCAAACGCTAAGTATAATCCTTTGATAATACGTATTAATGCATAAAAAACAATTCGCCACTTCAGGTGAAACTGCTTAGTTCATTCGTTTTTAAATAATAGTGAAACTATTAAATCCTTTTAAAATATATTTCTTTCATTCCCTTATCCTACAAGTTCATCAATATTGCAAGTAAATTTATGGGGATATGCAATCTAGTCTTAATCATGCTTATATTGGGTCACTGGAACGCATGTTTACAATTTCTTGTACCTATGCTCATGGATTTCCCCGTGGATAGTTGGGTTAGTAAATCACGCTTACAGGTAAGTTTTACAAAATTCTGTTTTTGCTGTTTTAATTTTTTCAGTTAGTAATTAGGATTTGGCAGGCTGAGGTGAATAGTATTTTAGAACAGTGAACTCCCAAGTCAAATACAGGTCAATAAGCTAAAATGTCCTGTAAAAGGCACTTTTGTCGGAATAAACTTTCGTCGTAATAACTCTTAAGTTACAGATGCTGTTCACTCGTTACGTCCGTTTACTACGTTGTTGAAGATGCATAAACTGGTGAATTATAACGAAGGATACGTTGTCAGTTATTTGAGGAGAATTAGTTGAATTGCTGCTTACAAAGAATCTAAATGTGGTAATGTAATCGACTCTTTAGCTAGCGTAGTAAAAGTAAATATAACTGAATAAGAAGACTTAAACATGAATGAGTTAGTTGCATACATATATCTTGATAAATAGCAGGTTCTCAGCATATGCGACCAAAATACTAGAGAGGAAAATTTTCAGTGGATAAACGATAGATCAGAAGAATCTGTTTTACCAGTTACAGGAGAATAGGTTAAAATGGGTACTATAATATACACAGCATGCTTGGAAATCATACATGCCGTTGTCTGAAATTGATTACCTACTTCAAGTTATTGTTTGTAAAATATACTTTGTTGATCTGACAACTGAAATGCACAAGAACATCGTTGTAAGTATGTGCAGTCGTCTAGGAAGGCTTTTAATACCAAGATCATGGGGTCCCATGATCCCCTAATGGGATATGATATAGTTTTATATGGATGTATGACAGTGCAGATGGTGAAGAAATCTTAAAGATGATAAACCTGTTGGAAATCTAGATATCTCTACTTCTCACATTAAACAGATTTATAAACTGCGTCTAAGGTATCATTTCCCTTAATAATTACGCTGTCTTTCATATGCTCGATTTTGACTGGCCAGTGCACACTTGAACATAGTTGCCCGCCACTAAAGTTTAGTTCTGCCAGTACTTTTATGTATATTTTTCTATATCCAGATAAAAAAGTCAATGGTGCGAATACCTCCCGATTTATATAGCTTCCAAATAAAATAAAATTAGGAATTATTCGATGAATAGTACCATTTCAAATGTTTTTGGTTGGATAAAAGAAGTAGATTTCCACCCTTTTTCTAGCGTATTCCTTCACTTCTAGAAGAACGATCACTTACAACAGATTGTGCTGGGTTAACTGATATCACTAAAATCTTAGCCTAAATGACGTTCTTTGTATTATTCCGTTGTTGATTAGACCGAATTGATCGATTTCAATCAGTATATGGGCTCCTGAATGGATGCTTCGATATTCCCTGTTTTTCAATTTTGATATCTATGATGAATACTAGCTAGCAGTGAAATCCTAGACATTCGTTTCATCAATTTCGGAATTTGTCAGCAGACTGCACCTATCCATCAGTGAGTGGTGTTGCTTCTACTAAGACTCCAGCCTTTATTTCCTAATTGAAAATATGGGCAATATCAAGGCATCCGCGAAGCCCATATGCCATTCAAAGACCGATCGATTTGGTCCACTCCACGTCAAACTAATACAAGCAACAACATTTAAACTACATCCGTCATACAGGAAGTCGCTATTATGACTCGGTGGTCTAGTGGATAACACTCTGATGTTTGAAGTGATCAGTCTTGAGTTTGAGTTTTATTGTGAACATTATCGCTCACTGGAAGCTAGCAGGTACATCCAGTTGACATGACCCAAATAGGACGAAACACGCGTCCTGGATTCCAATGCTAGCCACTTACCACCATTAGCATCTAAATGTAAATCTCACTGACAAATTCAACATCTTTATTTCAAACACGAAGATCCAAAAAGCTAACTACTTGATAACATCAAGCTTACTCTTGGCTCATCACTCACTAGCTAATTACTCTGACTTACAAAGAAGTTTAAACTAACAGAAACTTATTCATAAGCTAAGTGATACTCTAGATACTGGGTTGTCGTCAATTAAAGCTTCATTCAGCACAAGAGATAATATCCACTTCAGAACAATAATAAAAAATTATGTAGTTCGTGATAATTTTGATAAAGTAAATCAACGCAGTCAGTATGATACTCAAATATACATAAGAATATCCTCCATAAAAAAATAAACCAATATTATCCAGTAAAATATTCAGCTATTTCAGGTAAATAAGAATAAGAATATATCTTTATTTCTGCTGATTTTGGTCATGGCGTGGAAAACCCTAACCACTAATTTCTAACAAGCTTAGTGTCTTATTCAAGAAACTAACATATACCTGCAAGTGCCCTTTCATTAAGGAGCAAACTGATGCAGTTCATCTCATCAATACTCTCTTTTCCTATACCTAATCCCACTTTAGTCAGTATAGCGTTTCAGAATATGTGGTGGCTAAGTACATGTAGCAAAAATTGATCGTTTTAGTCCCTATATACTTGTCATATATAGGAACATGCTACTGTCAACTTGAGTTGTCCTCCCATTTTATAGTTTTATTGCAAACCAACGCTTTCTCAACGATGCTAAATGTTGGCTGCCTATAAACTCTTCATCACCCCCGAACTCAACTTTTATGCCACTCTTCCAGATATTGCAAACATAAGCAAAGCACTGAATACCCGTAGCTCCAAGTATGAATCTTTATACAAAGTTCTTCTGATGGCACAGACTTCTGTAAGGGATGGTTACCAGTTTGACTTAAAGTTTAGTAGATGAGGTAATCTGTTTATTTTTTACTATCTATAAATGCGTATATTCCGTTCTTTTGCGACGTTTGAACGAAGTAATAAAGAACAGATTGCCCAGTATCTATTATTTGGTCACCAAGTGAAGCTACGAAATCAACGTTAATTATTTCTCTGGTAAGAGTCTTAAACTAATAGTATATGAAGCATAATAGTCAACTATTAATCCAGTTTCACTGTTTACTCAATGTAGCCTTAATAAACAACTGCAAGGGAATATTTTGAGGCTTTAGTTCTTAACTGATCTATTAAATCCAGTGGGATTTAAAGAATTTGTTCTTGAGGCTTCATAGTATTGTTTATTGATGTAGTTAATATACATTCTATGTGTAGGTTTTTCAACTAACTGACGACGAAGTGAGAAGTCTCTCAAACGGTCAGACAAAGACATATCACGATCAGCAATGCGTCCAACTGATAACATGAGCATTGTAGATGACTGTAATTGAACAAACGCTTGAAAAGTAGTGTTGCCCTATTTTTAGCTGAAACTTGAAAGGCATAATTCTGCATAGTTCACCTATCATCTGCAACATTTCGTTTAAATTCTTCACTTTTGTTTTGACTAACGGTGGTAGACTCAGTTTTATCCCTTCTTACTCTAATCGTAAAACTTTTGGTTTGAAGTAAAACGATTTCGAAAGATACTTTAGTATAAAATGCTACGTACTTTTGTATTTCTGGCCCAATACTTCGAGTGAATACTTTTAACCAACGGACACTAATGTAAAAACAACTAAAGCTAAGAAAGATGTCATTTATGCCCTTGACCAGGTTAAGAAACTTATGAATCTGGGCGATTTAGTCTACCGGAATGTAGATTACATGGCTTCGTGCGAAGAAATTAAGAAGCGTGTATGACAGGGTTTATGATAAAACTAACATGAACACTAAGAAAAACTCGATTCTAAAACCAGTATCCCAGTAATTCACTGGTATATTCTGCTTTAAAGGATTATTTTTTGAGGTGCGGTGTAAAGACTTTCGCGAATGAATTCCAATGACAGGAGACGTTTCACCGCAGAATATAGATGTCAGCTTTTACCCTGAATTCGTAATCAGCATGAACTTTATATACTGGGTTTAAAGATTAAGTCCTGGAATTTTACGCCTTGAAACTCATAGCTGGAATAACTAAGTAGTCATGTGGATATGGGAATATAGTTGAGAAATAGTCAAACCTGATTAGAAGCATTTAAGTTTGTGTTTGCTATCACATATTCGTTAGTTACTCTGTATCTTGTTCAACAGAATGCTTACTGGTTTGAACAATACACATGGGCGTTATTTAAAGCTCTTTCACATATGCTTTCAATTGGTTATGGACGTTATCCGCCAAGTACACTACCAGAAGCGTGGATTACCATTATAAGTATGATGACAGGTGCAACGTGTTATGCCCTGTTTGTTGGTCATGCGGCTGCACTGATACAATCCTTTGATGCATCTAAGAGAAAATATCGAGAAATGGTAAGCAGTATAATTGTTTCTAGTTTGCTTTTGTTTTTTAATCATTTTAATGTATCTTCTCAGGACGACAATAACTAGTTCTTACTTTTACTGAATAGATAATAATAAATTGGTTTTTGGATAAAGCAAATTTGACGAAATTTGGAGAATTAGATGACATCATTTTATTTCATGGGTACTCTTCAGATGTATATCCAATCTAAAAATACAGTGATTATTAGGACATAAGATATCTTAGAATTAGGAAATCAATTATCTTAAGTTGTACAACAAAATCATTGATAATCCATATAACATACGAGAATTAATTGTAAGAAGTGTAAAGGAGGAAAAACAATAAGTAAATAAAGTTATATAATGAACATGAAAATGAAATAGGGTCAAATCATAATCACGTGTCAGATATGGCAATTAAAGAGAATCGATGAAACTTACAACGCAATCTCAAGCATTAACACAGTTAGAGGAGCTCTAATTCTTCAATAAAGAGTATTGTATTCTCCCTGAATAAGTGTAACTGTGGTTGTAATGGTGAAAACACTTGCATTCCATAGATGGCAAAAAGGTAAAAGGAAATAAACGCATTCATTTGAAACTAGTTGGAAAAAAAACTACATCAACAGATCTGTAGGGTAAAAAGCATTGAAACAATCACCTATCAACTGTCTAGGCGAGTTCTGATCGTCCCACTCAACATTAATAAGGCAGCATGAAATTCATCCTCTTATAAACATGTCTTAGTGGTTATGTTGAAACTGCAGTCGGGGGTTTTTCTTACAGAAACGTTTGCTGAGATTGTAATCGATCAGCTGGAATATCACTAACTTAATCTGGTAATATTGGTCATAGCATCCAACAATGAACAGTTGAAAATTATGAAAGTGATGTATTACGTTGTGTTTCTCTAGCTGGGAGGCAATACACTAAAGTTATGAAACAGATAAAATGTTCCCACCCGGCAATTAGGCATATTTAGTAGGAACTCCACCAGGCCAGTGAGGCACAAGGGTCACCTCTTGAGTAACGAATACCACTTACTATTTACTGATATTGATATTGAATAATCAGTCAGTTTTAAGCCATTTACACAGGAGATTATATGCCAACAGAAGTTGAGTAGTTCGATCGAGTACTTTAACAGGAAATTAAAAACACTAAACAATGATGTCTTTTCCTAGTCGCAAACTCCTTAACACTATGAGCCCTTAACTTCACGTGGAACCCAGTGCATGACCTTAACATTTTGTAGCGAGTACCATATCTAAAAAGCATAGAAACTTGGAAATAACAACCAACAGAATTAAACATGGACTGACATCAGTTGGGGAACCATTGAAAATCTAGGAGCACTGGACAGCTGTTTCTTCCTAGTATAGGACTCCACAGTAGTACGCACCCACGACCCGGCTGGGGGTCGAACTCAGGACCTTCAGGATCCACGGCGAACGCATTAACCATTCAGCCACTGGGTCGGTTCCCAATGGTTCACAATTTCCAACTTCTGTCAATTCAGGTTCCCAGATTTTCAATGGTTCCCCAACTGATGTCAGTCCATGATGAATACTACTTCTAAATTAAAAATCCCCATTCATATCAAGAATTAAACATGTTAGCTGAATGATGAACTGCTCACTATGAGATCCCAAGATAATGAACTCGATTACACCTGAACTGGTAAACTCGCAACTCAGGTTAGGATTAACAAGCTGTCCGAAGCACGTCGGATGCTAGTGGTTGCTTCACTGATGTTGTGACATGATGAAAACTACTCTGAAATTGATTAGAAGTTCAACATTATTCAGCATATATCCGTATATCCACTTTGTCACTATTAATGAAATGCATGTCTCTGGAGCCAGAAGAAAAGCGTCATTTCGTTGTATTTATTGATATATATAACTTCAGAGATCTAATGGCTTTCGCATATTAAAGTATAAATAACATTTCAGGATGATCATCAACAGAAGAGTAAGTTATTCTTTTATTCTTAAGGTATTATTCACCACTGGTTGATATCATCTGAGGGACCACTTAAAATCTGAAAGCGCTGCACAGCTTCCTTATCCTAGTATGCAACACCCAAAGTTACGCAACTACGACCCGGCCTCACCAGTGATCGAACTCAGGACATCCAGGTCTTACCCCAAGCCCCTTTGTCAGAGTTCATTGGTTCCCAGTTTCCCCTCTGTTAACTGGCAACATAGCTCAGTTATCCATCAAGGTCTACAGTTAGCATGCACTCCACTTTTGACTAGGAGTCCTCAGTTCGGTCCCTGGCTGGGAGGTATCGTGAGTGTATATTACTGAGGAGTCCCGCACTCGGATGAAACAGCTGTCCGGTGCTCCCAGGTTTCCAGTGGTCCGTCAACTGACATCAGTTCGTGATGGATATTACCTTTAAAATAAAATCTCCATAAACCTTAAATTACATTATTCATTTATTCTTTGGTTCTATTGTCGTTTTTACCTTGAAAAAAGATGAATACACTTATTGTTATCACTGGGCTTTTGCATGCCAAGTTAATCTGTAACGTTGTTGAATTTCAGCCTCATTAGCATATGAATAGGTGGCCTGTCTAACTGAAAGGCGCCTAAACTATTCAATGCGTTGTTTTATTCACAAATAAGCTGATTGATTTAGCATGCAAGAAAATAAGACGAAAAAGTATTTCTCTCTCGATTCTAAAGTTGTCTAACAAACTGTTATATTTCATCCCTATTAGTTCAATAAGGTACAATGAATCTCTATTATTGTTACCCACGTAATGATGTTATCCAGCGAGTTCAGTGAATTTTTATGCAAATAAAGCATTACGACCAAACAGTCTAGCGTGATTAGTAGGCTAAGTGACTCGATAAAATCCTACTTCAATCTGTATATAATTAGATTAGTAGTAAAGTATATAAAGTATTTAAAGTACATATAAACAATCTAGTCCTACAGATGGCTGATGACATTTTAAAATCCTTATCTCTGAAGTCTTTGATAGCTATAATGAAGACAGTTAGCTAGTGACTCAAAGTCGTCGAAGAAAAATGTAACAGGGAAGAAACGTTTCTTACCAACGATATCATCATCAAAATGTTGTACAGTCGTATTTATAGACACTGGAGGCCAGTAACAATCGAATACCACTTAACAGGGATAGGTGATTGCAATGTAACCTGTAGTATAATTGAAAGCTGTTTCTAAAGACAACAAAATCACTACTCAGGATATGGAAAGGTTAACAAGTGCATGTAGTGTCCATCAACACAAAGATAATGTTTAAGGTTGTGAAGTGGCAATGAATTAGCTACGTTTAGATAGCTTATTCAGAGTCCTTTACAGTTGTACGAAGGTTCTCTTTAAACTGCTTTCAAGAAACTACTTCGAGGGCCTTGGTCTTTCGGTCCTCTACATAAACCTTTTTCATCATTGTCAATTGGCATGGGAAGAAAAGAAGAGAACTTGTAGTGGTGGCTCCCATACATAGAAACAACAATTTTGTTAAGGTTTTATGTGATATAATTACTCTAGCGGATAAGTAGAGAGCGCTTCCTATAGGTATGTGGCGGGAATAATTACGACTCTCTTAAGGTGGCTGAATGCTAACTTTTCCTCTTCCTTTTTTAGACATCCAGCTTCTAACCACACGCGGGACGGTCTTACTTCTGAACTGGCCCCTGGCCACCCTGGTGACTGTAGCAGCAGCCACTCGAAGCGATGAAGCTTCCATCATCCTCTCCTTGCTGCGAAACAGGTCTCCGGACGCTGTCCCGATTGACTTACTGATCTGGTCAACTGTCTACATATCACACAGGCAGCATGAGCTAAAATGCCTAAGTGCTTCCGTCTAACCACTGTGGGAGGAGGGTTGATATTAGTTAAGTGACGAGTGGGATACATGGCTGACCTCAAAGCGATAATCAAGGTTGGGCACTCTCCATCGTCACTGCTCCGGAAATACGGGTAGATACTCCAGACTTTAGAGTATTCTACATCTTTAGGAGTGCGTGGCCTTATGTGTGCACCGTTCTCACGCACGTGTATGTAACTAGAAGTCATACACATGGGTGGTTACGTTTGGTCGACCTGTAAAACTGGGAAAGACCTAGAAAACCGAAATAGCTGAGCCCCTCGTTATCCAATTGGTGACGCACTAATTTTGAGCTGCTGGCGAAATCCCTAACCAATGGCGCACACATAGTCGTCGTCAGCTAATAATCAGCTTGGTGGTAGTGCTGACTACTATGAAACTTTGAGTCATCATCTAAATGCTTGATCTATGGTGCACATTTAAGCCATACTGTGTGACTCGGGTGATTATCAGACGAGTGAGTTTAGTAGCTTGATATTGCACCTTCAGATGGTTCCTGCGATAAACTGATGTCGGCCTATAAACCGAATCACTGTCTTTCCCTCAAGAAATCCAATAATCATGGGTAATTGCGGAGCTACCTAGATGTTTGTAGACCTATCGAGGTAAGTGTTAGCACAGGACGTGTTTTACAGTGATATACTGTTTGATATGTAATGGGTGACAGGAAATTTTGCATTGCATGCAAGCTGTGATGGTGGCTGTAGGCTGTATACCTGGTGTAGAGCCGAGTTTACGGTTGTGATTGGCCACATCTTTGGTACCGTTTGTATAAAAATGATGAGTTCCACCCTCATGACTGCACCATCGGCAACTATCGAATGCTGAATGTGTTGAAGCTTGTGTCATCCTTCCTGGCCAGGAAATGGGTCTTCGGAAGTAGTCACCATTAGGCTGTTGGGACTAGTCAATTTTCTGCCAACTTTGCATGTAATAATGGATAAAATGCCTCAGTGCCACCATACTTACCGCAGTTAGAGAAATATTGGTATTACTTGAGTTATAAGTGTGAGATACGGCCGGCCATAGCAATATGACCTTAGCCTGACACTGTCTTCTGTCCCTGCTTATGAGGTACCAGTAGATACCCTGAACTTTGTATCTTCTTCATTAGTAAGACTGCATGGCGTGTTGTGTACA